GCTTGTCCAGGGGTAGGGGATTTTTGTTAAATTCCTTGGGTCCCACATTCCCCCCTTTTCCAGAGGATACTATGCAGGACCCAATCATGGGTTCTGGATTTCTGTCGAGTCAGTGGTTGGTATTGTTGCCTGAGTACCATGAGTTGAACTGTGTTGACTAGGTCCCTGACAAAAGCCACTAGTCTATTAATGAGGCAGGGCCCAAAGGTCAGAAGGAGGAGAAGGATGATCAGGGGACCGGCTAGGGAGGACAATAAGGTAGTCAGCCAGGGAGAATGATTGAACCATGATTCAAACCATCCCTGTTGCTGCTCTCGCTCTCGTTTTCGCTTGGCTAATCCTTCCCTTACCTTAGCCATTGATTCTCGTACTATCTCTGAGTGGTCAGTGTAGAAAAAGCACTCTTCGTTCAGGGCAGCACAGACTCCTCCTTGTTGTAGAAAAACTAGGTCTAATCCCCTCCTATTTTGGAGCACCAGTTCAGACAAAGACATTAGGGATTCTTGGAGGTGGGAAATGGAGGTTTCTATGCGTTCTAGGTCTATATCAATGGCAGCTCTAAGGCTACTGTAGTGGGAGGCCTGGGTGGCTAGTGAGGCAATACCCGTCCCTGCGCCAGCCAATCCAATTCCCAGTAGGGAGGTGATGGTGATAGCGGAGATGGGCTCCCTTTTATTTCGCCCGTGGGTATCTGCGCCCTTCCACTGAAGTACCTGCTCATCTGAATGGTGGATGACTCTAGGGAGTAGCTGAGCCAGCACACAGAAGCCCCCAGTTCTGTTTATAACCTGACCATGAGCACAGGGAGTTAAACCCTCAGAACAAGCCCACCAACTGTCTTGGGGCGGTAGATAATACCCTGTATTATTTGTAGACTGTGTAATGTTGCACAGAGCCTGGTGGTGGTGTGGAGTGCCTATACAGAGTCCCTGGCCGAACACGGACTGCAAGGTGAGGCCTTTACTACCAGGCTTTGGGTTCCACCTGCAAGCATTAGGGTCCGTGGTTGTGTTATATTGACCCATTATTGCGATACCCTCATAGAAGGGGGGGCGGACGTCATAGCACAGCCAGCAGGATCGGGTAAGATTGGGATTAGTTGCGTTGAGGAATTTGTAAGCCTTGGACATCAGGGCCCAAAGAGGGTGCTGAGAAGGGTCGAGGGGGAGGAGAGGGGAGAGGAGAGTCGGGACTGGGGTGCCACCACCAGAGGTGTTGTGGGCAAGATTCAGAGGGTGTGCTGCAGGTGTTGCCTGAGGTTGAGGAGGTAGTAGCACAGTGTTGGGACCTATCCTAAGGGTTTCCCTTGACCTTTCGGTTTCTCTAGTTGTCTGATCATGAATAGGACTCCGTTATCATACCCGCTTTGGTGAAGCCGGAGTCCCCACAGAAGTCCTACCCCCCAATTTGTTTCTTGTTTCCCGGTCTCCGTGAAGGAAATGGTGACTGGATTACAGTAAGGGCGTTCCGAGCATGAGGGGTGCGTAGTATTCAGTTGCATTTTTATGAGGCCGGATGGGTTTTGTGACAGCCAATTGCATGTCCCAGTTTGTTCGCAACCCCATGTTTTGCAGAAGTAGTCTGTCCAGCCACCGCATTTGGAGGCCTTATTATGGTCAGACTGAGAGGGGGCCGGACACACATAAAAACAGGTATCTTGGAGGGCCATCTTGGCCCTCTCGGTGCCACATCCTGGTATTCCTATTCTGCCTTGGTGCCAGGGGTCCTGACTGAATAGTTCACACAAGTCAATAGTCAGATTAGGCCACCAGGTCCCTCTAGGGTGTAGCTCGGACAGCTGGGTTACTACCTGATTAGAGCTTGGGGTGATGATTTGCCAGGTTAGATTAAGTGGTTTGGGGTTGGGTTTAGCCGCGAGGGGATACAGCGCAAGTAATATTAGCGGGGTAAGTGGGAGCGACGCAGCCTTAGCTTTAAGGGATTGTCCTTGTCGGGCTGACTCTTCCATTCCGGAACAAAGTCCTTGAGGACAGCGTGTGGATCAGCTGGCCGGACGTGGGTGTAGTGGACCCAGGGAGTTATTCCGTTGACCTTGAGAGTGGTGGGCGTGGTCAGGATCACAATATAGGGTCTTTTCCAGCAAGGTTGGAGCGTCTGCTGTTGGTGCCTCCGCACGTACACCCAATCGCCTGGTCAATTCTGATGGGGGTCAGGAGGCGGCCCGGTCTCGTAGAGGGCCCTCAGCTTAGGCCACACCCGCTCATGGGCTCTTTGTAACATTTGGAGGGAGAAAAGAAATTGTTGGTCATTGAACTCAGCAAGCACTTCGGGTTTCAAGGCAGGAATGATAGGTGGAGGTATACCAAACATGATTTCGTAGGGAGTCAGTTCCATCTTATATGGTGAGTTTCTCACCCTATATAGGGCAAAGGGGAGGAGAGTGACCCAGTCCCCGCCAGTCTCCAAGGCTAATTTAGTTAAGGTCTCTTTTAATGTCCTATTCATCCTCTCTACCTGACCTGAGCTCTGGGGTCTGTGAGCACAATGTAATTTCCAATCTGCCCCCAGTATTTGTGCTACTCCCTGTGTTACCTTAGGAATGAACCCCGGTCCACTGTCAGATCCGATCCTGGCAGGAAATCCATACCTTGGCAGAATGTCCTCCAGCAGCTTTTTGATCACGGTTTGCACTGTTTTGTGCTTGGTGGGGAATGCCTCTGTCCACCCTGAAAAGGTATCTACGAAAACTAGCAAGTACTTGTACCCATACTTTCCAGGCCTTACCTCAGTGAAATCTACTTCCCAGTATGTTCCTCGGCAGTCTCCCCTGAGTTGGGTTCTGGGGTTAGACCCATGGGTGGTGGCGTTGGTTAGCTGGCATGCATGACAGCTTGCCACAATCTGCTTGATCTTTGCTCAAGAGTCTTTAATAATGATCTTAGCATGTCGTATGAGGTCTTCCATCTTTCTTGTTCCCGTAGGAGTACTCCGATGCATTTTGTTTTTTTTGTTTTGTTTTTTTTTTAATTTTTTTTTTCAACGTTTATTTATTTTTCGGACAGAGAGAGACAGAGCATGAACGGGTGAGGGGCAGAGAGAGAGGGAGACACAGAATCGGAAACAGGCTCCAGG